AATGTCTTTGGAGGAAAAACAGGCAAAACACTGAAGCAAACAGGTTAGAGGTACCTTGAATAAATCCTGGTTAAAGAAGATTTCGGCTAGGGACCAGTGGTTCAGGCCTGTAATCCTAGTTACTCAGGAAGCTGAGATCTGAAGATCACAATTCAAAGCCCAGGCAGGAAAGTCCATGAATGCTAGCCTTGAGCAAAAAAAGTAGCTCTGGGACAGAGTCCATGCCCAGAGTTCAAGCCCCAGGACCAGCAAAAAAAAAAGAAAAAGAATATTTTGAAGAGAACAGAGAAATTCAGGCAGTGGCATGGACTTCAAATATTAGTAAAGTATGTATGTATGTAATAGGCTAAGCACCTTATATAAATGCTCGGGATCTGAAGTGTTTCTCATCCTGGGAGTTTTTCAGATTTGCAGTTGTTCGAGGATTTCTAACTAGAAATTCAAACTCCTTGAGCACCCTGCAGACACTCAAGGTTATAGCTTTTTGAGCATTTCAGCTTCAGACATTTTCAACAGGGATGTGGCTGCGCCTACATCACTGTCTCCAGCGTGGTAATGACATCATGACCTCACAGGGACAAACACTAGGAGTGCTGTCATAAAATGTGTGCCCAAGTTCAAGGCTTGGCATCAAGAAGAAAAACTGAGAGGGGCCCTGGTGGCTCACGCCTGTAATCCTAGCTACGCAGGAGGCTGAGATCTGAGGATCTCACTTCAAAGCCAGACCCTGCAGTGAGACTCTTATCTCCAATTAACCACCAGAAAAACCAGTAGTGGCACTGTGGCTCAAGTGGTATAGCACTCACCTTGAGCTGAAGAGCTGGGGGACAGAGCCCAGGCTCAGAGTTCAAGCCCCATGACTGACCAAAAAAAAAAAAGAAAAACTGCAGCAAGAGTTCCATGTGAAAGCGTATATGAGGCGAAGGGCAGCAATACATGCAGGCCCAGGGGCCTTGTTCATACTTCGCACCATTTATCTAAATGGGACACAAGCTGGCAGTGGGGTGGAGACAGGAGTTGGGGGTGGGGGGTCTCACTACCTGGTGGAAGGTCCAAGAAGCAACCAGCACCCCAGCACCAAGGGTGCCACAGTGTTGGGCAGCATCCAGCCACCAGGGCACCTTCTGCCTGCCTGTTCCCCATGTTTAATGGGCTGAGCAGATAGCAGCCCTGGACCTAGGCGAGGCAGGACCACAGGACGGCATGAGCCAGCCCTGGGCAGAGCTGATGGAAGCTCCCCTTGCTGTGTTTCCTGGCTCCTGCCTCCCCCAGGCTAAGGGCAGGAATCTGGGCTTTGATCTCTCAGCAGTCCAGGCAGTTTTCTCTCCAGTGACAGCAGAGGGGCTGAACAAAAGAGGAAGGAAGGGGGGCTCCCCAATCCCTCAAGTCTTAGCAACAGCATTCTCCCCACAATGAAGGGCAAGTTGCCTTGCAAAACTGGAAGCTAGGTCATCTCTCTGGCCCACTCCCTGCCCCGCTCCCACACTGTGTGCCAGGTACCGCTCAATTGCTTCCTGTTTGTCATCTCCTGAATCTCTAACAACCCCATGTCTGCCAAGCCCTGCAAGGATCTCATCTGAGGGCCAAGGCCAGCTTCAAACGCCTCCGCTTCCTCTCCCCCAACATGCCTGCCCCTTTGTCTTCTGGGGACACAGAAATTGCATCCCCGCCAGGCCTCTGCTGATGCTGGTCAGTTCTCTTTTCTGGCCATTTTTTTCTTTTTTTGTCAGTTGTGGAACTTGAACTCGGGGCCTGGGCACTATCCCTGAGCTCCTTTGTTCAAGGCTAACATTCTACCACTTTGAGCCACAGCTCCACTTTTGGTTTTCTGGTGATTAAAGAGTCTCATGAACTTTCCTGCCAGAGCTGGCTTTAAACCATGATCCTGAGATCTCAGCCTCCTGAGCAGCTAGAATTACAGGTGTGAACCATCAGTGCCTGGCTTCCTTCCCTCTTTTTCCTTCTTCCTGCCTAACTCCAGGACCAACTCCCATCTGTCCTGCAAAACCAGCCCAATAAGTAATAAATCCCCAGGCTATATAAATACTATAGATAAGTAAATAATAAATCCCCAGGGCTAGGCATCTGTTCATGCAGATGTTGCTTTTACTGGCAGCCCAGTGCTTTGGTCCCTTCATTTTCAACGGGTTAACACCTCAGCTGGCCTGAGATGTTAAATCTGTTCCCCTCAGTGGGTGAGACTATTTTTAACCTTGGGGAGATATGCAACAACAATTATAGTAGACACTGTGGTAGCCTCTTATGATTCTGTTTTGTGCAGGCTCAAGAACTACAGTGTAGCTACTGACCACACTGGCTACAGAGTCAACTGGCAATAAATAAAATCAAAATCCCAGTCCCCTGTTGCCATACTTCAAATGCTCAAAAGGCAACACACAGGTGGCATAGAAAGGATGGCAGACAGGACAGTTCCTCCAGGGCACCACCGTCACTTGAATGGTCCTATTAGGGCTCTGCCTGGGCACAGCTAAGGCCCTACAAGAGTGTTTTACAGCCAGGCACTGGTGGCTCATGCCTTTAATCCTAGCTACTCAGAAAGCTGAGATCTGAGGCTTGTGGTTGGAAGCCAGTCCAAGCAATAAAGTCCATGAGACTCTTATCTCCAATTAACCACCAGGAAACCAGAAGTAGAAGTGTGGCTCAAAGTGGTAGAGCGCTAGCCTTAAGCACAAAAGCTCAAGGGCAGCCAGCACCCAGGCCCTAGTATTCAAGCCCCACAACCGACAAAAAAAAAAAAAGTGTTCTTTGAAGCAATGTCTGAAAGGATAGAGAACAGACACATTTGCCACCTGCCACAAAAGACTTAGTACCCTCATGCACAGAGAACTTTTAGGTAAGAACTAGAAAAAGTTCAATACCAAACAGAAATAAGCTATAGGAACAGACAGTTCAGAAAAGGAAACTCGTGGCTCATCCACACAGAAAGGGAGGGCCTGCAGAGCCAGCACTGCTATTGCTCAAATAGGTAAAAATCCAAGTGTTTGGAGACATAAGGCTCTTAAAATCCAATGTGCATTCCTGTGACCCCAGCAATGCCACACCTAAGAAAGAGTTCACCACACAGACCAGCCTGCATTCAAGGGAAATGGTAGCAGCACATGGCATTTCACTAAGACTTTATTTTAATGATGAACGATTAGCTCTTTAATAATAAATGTTTTTTTTAAAAAACTAGGAAAACTAGTTACTAAACTAGTAGCTAAAATCTAGCTACTAAAATTTACACACACACACAAATACAAGCATACCTCAGGTGGTCTCTGGTGCAACATGGCAATCCCCTCCACGGAGACGAGAGGCTGCTGGGTCAGCTTCCTTTCTAGCAAGTGCAAGGCTGAGTTCAAATCACCAATAAACAGGCTGAAAGCCAGGTGCCAGTGGCTTATACCTGTAATCCTAGCTACTCATGAGGCTGAGATCTGAGGATCATAGTTCAAAGCTAGCCCAAACAGGAAAGTCTGTGAGACTCTTATCTCCAATTAAGCACCAAAAAAGCCGGAAGTGGCACTATGGCTCAAGTGGTAGAGCACTTGCCTTGAGCTGAAGAGCTGAGGGACAGTGCCCAGGCCCAGAGTTCAAGACCCATGACCAACAAAAAAGAAAAGAGCCAGGCACTGGTGGCTCACGCCTGTAATCCTAGCTACTCAGGAGGCTAAGATCTGAGGATTGCGGTTCAAAGCCAGCCAGGGCAGGAAAGTCCGTGAGACTCTTATCTCCAATAAGCCACTAGAAGACCGGAAGTGGCACTGTGGTTCAAGTGGTAGAGCACCTGCCTTGAGCTGAAGAGCGCATGGACAGTGCCCAAGCCCAGAGTTCAAAAAAAAAAAAAAAAAAGAAAGAGAGAGAGAGAGAGAGAGAGAAATGGGCTGAAGCCAGATGCTAGTGGCCTGTCATCCTATCTACTCAGGAAGCTGAGATCTGAGGATTTCAATTTGAAGCTAGCCAGGACAGGAAAAGTCTATGAGTCTTATCTCCAATAAACTATTCACAAAAAGGCAGAAGATGGGCTGGGAATGTGGCTTAGTGGTAGAGTGCTTGCCTAGCATGCATAAAGCCCTGGGTTCAATTCCTCAGTACCATATACACAGAAAGTCGGAAGTGGAGTTGTGGCTCAAGTGGTAGAGTACTAGCCATGAGCAAAAGAAGCTCAGGGGCAGTGCCCAGGCCCTGAGTTTAAGCCCTAGGGCTGGAAAAAAAGCCAGAAGTTGCACTGTAGCTCAAGTGGTAGAGCACTATCCTTGAACACAAAGAGGCCCAGAGACAGCACCCAGGCCCTGAGTTCAGGGCCTAGGACTGCCAAACAAAAGGGGCTGGAAGCAGTAGCTCAGACCTATAATCTCAGCTACTCAGGAAGCAGAGACAAGAAGATCATGGTTTGGAGCTAGCTTGTGCAAAAAGTTACTGAGATCTCATCTAAATCAACCAGTTGGACACAGTGGTATGCACCTGTCATCTCAGCTATAAAAAGCTTAAATAGGAGGATCATGCTCCAGACAGTCTGTGAATAGATGGAAGATCCTCCCCAAAACAATTAAAAAGCAAAAAGGACTTCCTCTTGGAGGATGCAGGGAGGGGAAGAGCTCTATGGATGAATGAGGCTTCTGCCAAACATCCCTCCCACGAAGTGTGTCTGGGCATGGCGCCGGGTCCCACACAGTCTAAGGCCGCCCCTGAGACACAGCCTGGCCAGTTTGACTTGAGGACAGATCAGTCTCAATAACCAGCTCTCGCTATTAAGTGGATCGTTATAGTTGATTCTGGTTCACTACTTAGAACCAAACAGAGGCTCATGGGACCTGCAGACCCTTTGAAGAGATCATGGCCAAACCAGCTCTGCCTGTAACTCCACACCACAAGGGCTGGAGACAAACAACTTATGTGAGGACCGTGGAAATCTGACCATCCATCTCCTTTCCTCCGTGCGGCCCCCCCTCCACCCCCCCCAAGCCTTCAAAGGGAAGCTGCACAGAGCCCCTCACCTCTCATCAGGGGAGTCCACATGGAAGGTCCTCTCAATGACCGTGGTCCACTGCAGGCAGCGGATGACGAAGGTGTTGGGCCGTGGCCTCTCAGTCTTCATCAGCTGGCATTCTGCATGAAGGATGAGGGAAGAGTAAGAATGTAGCTCTGGCAGGACCACCGTCCCCAAGCTACCTCCTGTGTGCCCAGCTCCAAGCCAAATGGTGCCAGGGGCCCTTTAGTGACAAAAGCCCTGCCCTTGTCCTCAGAGACACAGTGTGTGGGAGGTGCCCAAAAGAGCAATAACAACTCAGCCAGGAGGGCAGGGTTAGGGAAAGCCAGAGGAGGCATCTGACAGAGCCTGGGGCATCAAGGAGTGTAGCTCCAAGAAAGGAGGCCATGTCACCCAGAAGCCCGCTATCAGAGGGAAAACAGAGCCAATCCTGGAGAGTCCTCAGGTTATCAGGGAGCCATGGAAGGGATGGGGTCAGAAAGAGACAGAGGAGGGGACTAGAGACTGAGAGGCGGTCTGAGCAGATCTGAGTTCAAAGGACAGGGTAGACAGGGCCAGGGAAGGACAGGCAGCAGGCTAGAGGGCCAGGCCTAGGCCCTGAAGGTGGTCTCTGGTGCAACAGGGCAATCCCCACCATGGAGATGGGAGGCTGCTGGGTCAGTTTGGGACATCATGAGCATGAGGCAGCCAGAGACCCCTTCCTTTCCAGGGAAAGTTGTTCAAGAAGCTGCCGGGGATGTGGCCATGGGCACATGGGGAACACTGCCAGGAAAGGCTTTGTGCAGAAGTGTGTGGGGCAAGGGCAGGCACCCAGGTTCTGGGGAGCAGGGAAGGAGGCGGCAGGGGCTGGAGCAGCCCTGTCAGGCTCCATCAAGAGCTGTGGGTCTGTAAAGCTGGTCTGGCTGTCAATAGCTGGCCCTGTGATCAGCTGAGTGAAAGCTGCCATCCTGTTAGGTTAGAGGCAGAGGGAGAAGACAGCAGCCAGAACTGGAGTGGAAGAGGACAGAGGGGGTCGTGGAGGCTGGGCTGGGTGGGCACAAGAACCCTGGCTTTACTCTGCTTCTTGCTCTCCACCTAGCAGCTCAGCCCTGCAGGGCTGACAGCAGGGGCAGAAGGCCCAAGACGGGCTCCAGGTCAAGGACCCACCCACATGTCCCCAAGACCTGCCGGCCCTGCACTGGCTTTAGTACTCTGACCTGCGTGTTCCGATACATACCTGCAACGGAGAAGTTGTTTAAGGGAGGAAGGGTCTGGTCAGGAGCCTCGGGTCTCTCCTTATACCCAATGAAGGAGCCATCGCTCTTCAGCAGAAAGTACCTGGGCCTCCAAGTCTTGATGTATTCACCTGAAACAAGGCAGGAGGGGAGGAGGTCACCTACTGGCAGCTCCTGTGATGGTGACTCATGGGGTGCCGGGCGGGAGGGGCTATGAGGGCCACTCCAGGGAAGCCCTTAAGGTGGCCCCTGCTGACGCAGGTGGGGGCACTGAACTGATCGAGTGATCCACAGGCCAAGCCTGGCAGGAAGGCACCGTGGCAGTGCCCCAGGGCACCAGCTGCCTCAGCATGTGGCAAGCAGCAAGCTATCCTGGCCAGGGCAGCTCAGCACTGGCCAGGGGAGGCCCAGGCCTCCAAATGCATGTGGCCCAGTGGCCCTGTAAGGCTGAGTCCCATGGGCTGGGATTCACCCACAGCTGTGTGGGCAGGGCAAATACCAAACTACTGTGCCAGCTGGGGCACAGGTGCTGTCCCACCCTCCAACCACCCCAAGATCCCTTCCCTTTGTCCTGCTTGTGAATATCCAAGCACCTGCTCACTGTCTCTCACACAGACACACATAGACACACACACACAGGTACACGCACACACACGCACACACATACACACACAGAGGCATATCACAAGGACCCATTTCTCAGGGGGCTCCTCAGGAGCTCAGGGCCTGGCACAGGGTGAGAATTCAATAAACCAGGGCAGAAATTATTTCTACCAGTAGTAGCAGGGTGGTTGGCACAGGTGCCAAGAGCAGCATGGCCCACTTGTTCAGACTACCTCTGCCAGCTACAGCATCAAGGAAGCCTGGGAGGGAGGGAAGTAGAGAGGGAAGCAGGAAGAAGAGGAAGGGAAGGGGGAGGGAGGGAGGCAGGGAAAGGCCAGGACAGGGGTGTCCAGGCTGGGTCATTTCAGCAGCAGGGCTAGGCTTGTGGTCTGGAGGCAGTGATGCTGTAGGAGAGGCCAGGCCCCCCCCTTGCCACTGCTGGGTCTCAGCTGGAGCCGTGCCCCGCCCTCAGCAGTTCTCCAACAGCCTCCAGTCCTTCTGCCCCACAGCCCACAGTTGAGGCACAGGAGCCACAGCACCTTTTGGACCCCAAAGCTATTCGCACCACACAACCTCAGTCACTAAAGGACTCATTCACATTTCCTGAGAAGACCCTGGGGTGCTCCAGCCATGCGGGAATCCTGCCCTCCTGGTGCTGAGCAGGTCAGGAGGCCAGGCTGCTAACCCACTGCACAGATCGCCATCATGCTGAGGGCAAGTGGCCGAGGCCAGCTTAGAACCCTGGCTCAGGCTGGGAAGGTGGCTCAGTGGTAGAGCGCTTGCCTTGCATGCTCGAGGCCCTGGGTTCGATTCCTCAGTACCACATAAGCAAAAAAGAAAAAAGCCGGAAGTGGCACTGTGGCTAGAGCGCTAGCCTTGATCTGAAGAGCTGAGGGACAGCGCCCAGGCCCAGAGTTCAGGCCCAAGACCGGACCCAAAAAAAAAGAACCCTGGCTTAGTGTGAGCCCAGACTGAGGTGTAGGAATATCAGCAAGAAGCAGCTCTCCTGCTGTTCTACGTGGGGAGGTCTGGTCCCCCCATCAACCCTCTGCTCTGCTGCCACCCGGTCCCCTCACGACACCCCAGCTGTGCCCTCTCTGTGCACTGCCAAGCTCATTCCCACCTCCAGAGGCCTTTACTCTGTGATGCCTGCCCTCACCATGGATACAGGAAGCCACTACTCCGCCATCAGGACCCAATGTCAAGGTGATACCGGGCGGGCCTGCCTGTAAGGCAGTGCCCAGCCCATAGGAGCTGCCTGCAAGTACACATTTGCAGAATAGTGCAATAGCTCCCCAGACCCAGGACAAGGCCGGTTCCCAGCATTCCCTTATCTGCTTGTCAGTGTCACATAGCAGCTGGCCCGGTGGACAGGCAGACTTGGGGTCTCAAGATCTGTGCACTTTCCTGCCCAGGAAGTCACTGGTCCTTATATTCCCCACCAATACATATGGATCGAGTCCAGCCTGGCCCCCAGCACCCTGGGCTTTTGTGAAGCCAAGGTCCAGCAATGGCCTGCAGGGCTCCAAACTGTTGGCTCCGAGTCACTGCTCTGCTTGGCTTCCTGCACCTTGCCTCTCCTCACACTGCTCCAGCCACACTGTTCCTAGAATCAGCAGGCACATGCCTACCTCCAAGCCTTTGTCCTTGCCGGCCCTCTCTGGGCACCCTTGCCAGGCTCTGAGCTTGCCCAGGTACCTCAGCGCACCTCACCGCAGCACATGGCTCCAGCCCCTCGCTCTCAGTTGTGACTTTTCATAATGGCGCTCTCTCCACCTCATGTTTCATGCCCGCTCACTCACTTCTGTCCTTGCTGCCCTCTGCAGTGTCACCTCCAGGAGGTGCCGTGATGTCCCAGGACACTCAAGACACTCCATGATTGCCACTTGGCCATGTCACCCCTCTCTCGGCAGGTCTGGAGACTCAGAGCGGGGAGACCCACAGCTCTGTTCTGGATGACTGAGAGATTCAGGGAGTGGCACGCAGGTGGCACGCAGGTGGCAAATGGCCTGGGGCTGCCCACGCCGGTTCCTTAGGCTGCATCACCCTGCCCCTCTGCCCCTTAGGGTATAGAGGAGAGCATGGTGCAAGGGGGGGGGACACGCAGTCTGGTGGGCAATGACAGCCCCTTACCACGCTTGTGCAGCCAGCCTTCTTTGATGACAGACACCTCGTTCATGGTGGCAGCGTGACACGCTGTCACCTAGCTTGGGACAGCTCAGGGCAGCAGGACATGCAGGAGGCGCTGTGGATGGAGTAGAGGCTGCAAGACAAGAGGGGCGCGTCAGAGGGGAAGGGACCCCCAGCTCCTCCCTCAGCTGAGGCCCTCTGGCTGCCTGTCTTGCTGGGGGGAGAGGGAAGGGCAGAGCTCTCTCTTAGGGCCCCAGAGACCACAATGTGGGGGGAATCGCTTCTCTGTGGCCCAGGCCCTGCCCTCCACCCTTGCTCCTGGCTGGGCAGCACCAAGGTAGCAGCAGCCCCGCCCCCTGCGTCACCCCCATACCCCAGCGCTGAGGTAACCCAGGATGAATCAGACAGCCTCAGGCACTGTGGGTGTGCTCAAAGCTACTGGCATCTATCTCACCCTCCCCTCCCCATACAGGCACGCGCCCCACGTGTGCACGCACGCATGTGCGTAGACTCACTCTCTTCCCTTTCAAACCATGAAGCCACCAACCTACGACCTTTGAGGCCCACTAGGGCCACCCCACCTCACCCCAGCCTTAGTTATCTCCCAGGCCAGTCCATGAACAACCAATGGATCCTGAATCTCGGAAGCTCTAAGACCCTTAACAGCCAAGCCACTGAGCATGGACCCCAAAAGCCAGCCTGGGGGCTTGAGCAAAGGGCCTGTCCTCTCCCCAAGACCTCTGTGCTTGTCCTCAGGGGCCAGCAGCCGACAGACTGACGGACGCCAAGGCCGTTGCTTCTCAGGTTCCCGAGCGGAGGGGAGAAGGGCACCAGGCAGCTGCCAGCTGGGCCCCTACCTGGAGCCTGGGGCCAGGACATGGGCCATGGAGCCCAAGGCGCCTTTTGCCTTTCCTAGCCTGGGGTTATTTGCGGACAGCAGGTCAGGAGCTGCGGGAGCCCCCAGAGAAGTGGCAGCTGACTCTAGGGACACCATAGGCATCAGCTTTCTCCCGTGCCCCAGGGGACTGGGGGGCCGGACATGCTCCTGCCTGGCATGTGATGGTGGCAGGCTGCCCAGGCCGGCAGAAGGGAGGGCGGTGAGCAGGAGGAAGTGGGAGGAAAGGCAAGATGGACAATGACGGGGAGAGACAGGATGGTGAGAATCACATTTGGACTCCGACTCGCTGGGCTGGGACAGCAGGCACGGCCACCACTCTGCAGCTGGGACCACAGCCTTCGACTGTGAATGTCCCATCCATGTCAGCCTCCAATGTGTGCATCCCATGGCCACTAGCAGGGTCCTGGCCTCTTCCTCACTGGACCCCTTTCTCTGTTCCCCACCCCTGAAGCTAGTGGGCCCCTCGAACCTGGCCCTGACCTTCCCCAGCTCTACGTCTCCTTTGCCCCCTACAGTTCCTGGCAAAAGAGCCCAACTCTTGGGCTCAGTGCTCAAGGCCGTCTGGGACAACCCATTGCTCCTGCGGCCTCCTGTCCACTGGGCTCAGGCCCAGTCCCCACAATGCTGGTGGGCTTCCTGTGAGCTTCTCCACTACGCCAGACCCCCACACTCAAGCTGTGTCTGACCTCACCCATTTCTGCTCAAATCTCAGTTATGACTGCCAGTGTGCACAACACACACAATCCCATCCATCACTTCGAGGTGGCCTGATGGGGCTGAGACCTGCTCCAAAATGGAAAGTCTGACCAGGACAGTGAGTCCCACACCTCCTGTTCATCCCTCTCTAGGCTCCCCTAGGCAACTGGCCATCCCTATAACACCCCTGGCTCTCAGAGCCTGTGAACCCCTCAGGGGGCTCATGCCACTCCAATCAATGCACCTTCAGACGGCCAATCTGGAGCAACATCTCTGAGCAATGACCAGGCCTGCTGCAGCTGCTCATCAGTCATGCCACCAAGCTTCCCTGAATGGGCCTCCATTCCAGACCCTGAGACACACACACACACACACACACACACACACACACACACACACACACACACACACACACACAC